CCAGCTCTCACCAATATGAAAGTAATGCAGTAGTTGATTATAAACTTTCAATGTTATTGATTTTCTCAAGATAAGTAACAAAATTACTGCAAAAAAAAGTAATTCTAGTAGAATATCTTTATTTCTTTTTCTGGATTGTTTTTGCATTATATTCTTGCAAAACCTAGTATGTTTTAACTTCATTAGGAAAACATTATTTGACAGTTCTTTTATCATATGAACTTAAATTTTATCACGTATAATTGAAATTTGTTTTCAATTCCTAATAATTTCTTATAATGTGGCAAATATTTAAAAATAGTAAAAATTTCCTACAAACAGCTACTCTCCCTAACTTTGAGGATGGGTATATGGAATGCATTGTCAAGAAAAATCCAGTATTTCTGAAAATAAATTTTTCATCAACTGTAATGATAAATCCACATCAACACTTTTGAAATTATTCCCAATCAGAATTTCAAACATTAGTTCAATAATTATTACATCACTACCAGCTTAAACCCCTCTTTCATCTGTTGCCCACTTTTGTTTAGCCAACACTAAGTTCTCTTTAAAGCTTTACTTTACAAACCCACTTTTCCATCCCTTAATTCATAATACAGAGTAATTATTACATTGTAAATCTTAAATAAAAAATGTTTGTTATATAGTTTGTTTTTTCATTTCCCAGGCTAACCATAGTCACAATAATGTTAAAAAGTACGTAAGCTTGGATAGCTTTATGTGAACATTTTGCTAAAATGAAAAGTTGCCATTGGGGAAGTAATAGATCGAATATTCAAAAACAATTTCACTATTCACTCAGGTTGCAGAGGGCTGTATGTGCATTATAAATTTCTTGTGGAAGGGATAAGTTAGGGTTTTTTATCTAGGTGTATGTAATGCCATAGAAATTTATAAAAAGGGTATTGAGTTATCACCTCTTATTGAAAAGGTTTCACCATTGCCTGAACTATAGAAATAGCCCTAGACACATTTAATAAATGCGTGTACAATATTATTTAAAACTTAATAAGTGTGACTAGACAAATATATTCAATGTAGTGCATTTGTTGTAAAGTACAACCTTACTTTTACCTTGTTTAATTTCAAAATTCACTTCTTCTTTGACTAGATATTAAATGTATGTAATTAACGGCGTTTCTCGTTATTATTCCAGTGTTACTAGTTATGACATTTGCAATGTTGGAAGTACTGTTCGTAACTGTCAATAAATGAACTAAGTTTAAACCAAGGTAATTAACCTTCAAATAGATTTACTGCTATCCTCCAAATGTGTAGGTTTAGAGAGTTTAAAATACTTAACTTCTTGCATAAGGGTATATAAAACCCTACAAGTTCTGAAATTGGAGGAGGGGGGTTGAAAATAAATAACTTCCTACACAGTGGATGACTAAAAGAAACTTGCAACAAGCTTATTTACCCTTTAAATATAGAGAGCGAATGACTTGTGAGAAGAAGCAAAATAATGCAAGATTATATAAAGCGTATGATTAATGGTAGCTAACAGTTTGCATTGAATTAAGGTAAAATGTTTGACCTGCATCACGCATTTTAACATGGTTATTATTTCAACTCAAGTAAACGGTATAAAAACATATTTTATCATTGGTCTTTGAAGACTGCATGAGGACAACTACCATTGTGTCACTCCTACTACAAAGGGATACTTGACAAATACTCTTACAACCAAAGTATCCACCTGCAAAAGAAGGTATAATATCTACAGGCAGTTATTAATCGTTATATAATTATGCTTATGTAAAGTACTTGAAAGAAGTGATGCAGTTTTGTTTTTCCTTAATTAAAATTTTCCCACACAAGAAGAAAATATTATTTTATGTCTTGTTTTACTTCTATAAAACAATTATATACAGTAAACATTTTTAAAGAAGTTAAATTCCATACATTCTTAGAAGGTCAGTTTATGGACTTACAACGCCAAATATCTGGGTTCGATTTCCCGTGATGAACAGAGCGCTAGTTTATTGTGTAGTTTTGCCCCTAGACATTCTTAAAATGTGTAAATATTAGTCGGGTGTTATTACCCGAGGCGAGCAGAATAAGATAGGCCATTGTGTAGCTTTGTGCTTATTTTAACCACAAACAAAACACACAAGCTTAAAAAAAACTACGTAGAAATATTTAGCTTTAAGTTGTCCACGCTTGGTGTGACTGAATACAAACCTGTTATGTCTGATAAAATTTTCAATGTGGTTAGCAAAGTAGGTGCAATTTAGTTATTACATACTTAGTTTATAAATGTTACTATTATTTGTAAGTTGACCGAGAAATATATTTCTTGTTTGATTAAATTTACATGAAAATTTATAATTTTCCATATTAAATCGTCTCTCAGATTTATATATTGTCATGTAGATTTAAAGTTCGACTCGTACATGTGGAAAGTAAACTTAAAACGAAGGTAATATTGTAAACTGTCTTGTACATTTGATAAATCAACAAGAATATTTCACAGTAAACTTTGACAATTTACAAACGGTAGTGACATTTATAACCCGAAAGGTCGTTTTATAATTATCTAGGAAACAGATAAAAGAGCCACGAAGTATGCAATATATATAAATTTCACATACAGTTTAACTTACATAGCAAAGTTACACTTGTTACATCTTATTGTAGGTACGATACTAGGACAAATATATAAAAAACTAACTCACCATGCTACTATGCAAATGAAATTTTCATAGTTATGCATGTGAATAACTGATTATCATAATTAATATTGGAAACGTATCGATAGTAACGACGTTTGTTAGCACCTGCTGTTGGTACGTATGTCAACTGTCTATCAAATAATGCTATTCAGTGTAGTCTGATACGATAATGACGACAACTTGCTGTAGAGTAAGCCAAAGTATTCTGTGAAGTCCTCAATCTTATATTTTCTTTCCGCCACTGCAGTATAAGTACATTCAAGCCACCGAAACTAAATGTAAATCATTTCTGGTACTATAGGTAAGCGTAGAAATTATAAAAATGTATGTACTAACAAATTGTAAAAAAAGGAACATTTAAAGTTAATCATTGTTTATTTCGTGTTTTTTTTTTAGGTTACTATATTCTAAGTAAAACTTTCATTCAGTGTTCTTGATTTTTTCTTAAGTTCGTATTGACTATCTTCTCATCAGGCTTCAAGTAAAAGGGAAAATGAGTAAACTTTGCCAGGGCCACAAATTGGACATTGCAATTGGTTTGGCTTTCATCTTGTAAATAGGCGAAGTTTCTGCAGTTTAGAACTTGTTAAAAAACTGTAGGCGATCAACTATGGCACAGAAACTCTTAAGTCATTTTGCTGTTTTGTATTCACTCGTGATTTTGCAATGAGAAAAGGCCAGAAAAGTAAAGTGATAAGACTTATGTTTGCTATTTCAGAAATGAAAGAACTCAATTAACTATGATATTTCCAGTCACAAAAATGTTATAAATGCTATAGTTTTTCTTTCATTAATTAGTATATCGTTGTGAGAAGGAATGAAGGTCTGTGTTATGAGTTTGCCCTACATCCAGCAAAATGTTGCTTGGGGCCTGCTTCCCATTTTTGTGATAACTTCATTGGCAAGATATAAGAATAATACTGTGTCAATATTTAATTCTTTGAAAATATTTCGGGCAGTGACGACCCCCCTCACACACGTGCGCGCAAATGACTGCGACATCCTTTTGGGCCGGGACCCTAGTTTGAGAAACGCTAAATTAGTCAAACTGCGCCTCCATAAAATTGAAAAAGGAATTTTCTCAACTTGCAAAATAACAATAGTCATTGAGTCATTGAATGTTGCCTTCAAGAGAGTTAATTATCATTTTATCCAAATTTATAGCATAGCATGTAGGTTTGGTTATGTAATGCTTCATTAACAGGACCCCGAACAAACACATATATCTCATTAAATAATTAAAAAAGATTACTTTTTCCATTAACAACAATCCAAACAAGTTTTGGCATTTTTACTCACCAATATTGTCTGGCACATTTTCTTTCACACATTTTATAATCTTTACATTCAACATTCTTTGTTATTGTTTTCTTACCACAACGCTACACAGTAGACTATCTGTACTCTGTCCACCGCGTGGAATCGAACCCTGGATAATAGTATTGTAAGTATCTAGACTTACCGAAGAGCCAACATTCATTATATTACTTGAAAGCTTTAGGTTTGCCGTTTAATACATTGTATCAGCTGCAGCTTTCTAAAATTGAACATGTAATTGAGTTGGCTGTTTTTCTTGTCAGAAATATTATAAATGGTTTGTAAACTTGTCGGAGAGTTTTGAATATCAAATTCGGTGTTTGTTTTTTATACAAAGAAACAGGTATCGAAGCAGATTTTAACACTGAAGTAAGATAAAGAGGTAAATTGTGTCTTATATAAATAAATAAATAAATATATATATAAAAGACGTATTAGCTGACATACCTATTCGACGTACAGGAAGGATATAGGTAACACCTGGGAGTCAAACTTGCCTACCCCCAAAGTCCCTCCCAGAAGGGGGGAGACAAAGTGTAATGTAAGGTTTTCAAATTCGATGACGAGGAACCCACTTTGAGACTAATAATGGCTGGAGACGGCTTAAATGGG